GATCACGTGCTTACTATATAAGGTTGCAATGAGTTGTGGTAGGTTTAATGATACCTCACAATATATGTAAAGCATTATGAATCCACATAAGATAAATTTTACTCTAAAATTACAAATAGGGTATAAATCAGCTTTAATCTATGAAAATAAAATTAGGCCAGCAGGGAGGCTATAAAATCAGTCTATTAGAATACATCCCATTAGGGGAAGAATAGACAGGGAAAATGAGATGGGAGGATGATGAGAACAATGTACTTTTAAAATAGACTCCTGTTTTACTGATGTATTTTTAAAATTTTCATTGCAAAATTACCCAGTCATCAGGAAAATGCCGTTTTTAGAAGAATATCTCACTTGGGTCAGTACATAAATAATAATACACACTTAAAAATGCATGACTATTCATTAAACCATTGACCATTTCTAGACTATTGAGTACATAAGTATTTTAAAAATTACTTTAATACATATTTACCCAATAGCCCAGAAAAGTTCCTTTGGTACATGAGGTGCATTTTAAAAGCTGCCTACATAAGTAGTTATCTAATCTAAGCCAGAGTCTGCTGCCAACTACATAATACGCATTTTAAAGAACACCCTAATTATGTGCTTACCCAGGAGAACAAAGTTAATATTGAGGGTCAAGACTTATTACCTCGTCTTACTACCTTTCATTCTTGGGGTGGTTTTTCTGTGGTTTTGATGGTTTGTGGGTTTTTTTGGTCAGATAACATAAAAGGAAAATGGCTTACATCTACCATCTTACCTACTTTCTTTAGACAATTAGTATCTCAATTTCTTCCTCACTCTCTTCAAAAGGAGAATAAAAGAAAAAAGAAATCTATGTGTAATTAAAAGCAAGTATCCAAATTATAGTAAATATAGAAAGATGGAAAATTCTTCTCTTAATGTATTTTTTTCTTATTCTCTCACTTTCCAATAATAATTTAAGCTATATACTCTTTTTTAGTTCTGAATCTTTTTTGTTTCAGTTACATTTATGGATATATTATAATGACATATTCATTTGCACAAAAATCATAGATAATATCTAGTTACTGAGTCTATTTTCATTAGTATGATTTGGGAATGGTGAATCTCAATTTAAAATGTATTCTCATTTTTCAAGCTATGAAATTAACAAAAAAAAACTGTATCTCAACGGATGAACAGCTCAGTACTATTTCTGCTTACTATCTAAAATTTAGTATCTTATTGGTGGCAATATCACCTCATATGTCAAGGATAGTTAATAAACTAAGAGATGGTATTGACAGTCTCTCCATAGAAATGAGTTTCTCCTCTAATTTCTAGTAATGTGTAATGGTCCATTTAGCTGGAAGAGTAGAGATAAGGTACATCTGATCCAGGCCATGGTCTTGGCAATTACTTGTTATGCATCAGAGAGTTGGATAATGGCTCAAGATGATAGAAGAATTGATGACTTTGAATTATGGTGCTGGAGAAGAGTATTGAACATACCATGGACTGCAGGAAGAACAAACAAGTCTGTCCTGGAGAGGGTGAAACCAAGCTGCTCTTTGGAGGCAATACTTTTTTTTCGTTTTTAAAAATATTTTTATTGATTTTCATATAATGATACATTTACAGTATGTTTCATTCATACACATGTTTTTACACAATCTTTTATTTACATTGAGTTTAATATAATCTTTCATATGTATTCCATTTTACATTTTTTAATACTAGTTTATTTACAAAATAAAAATACATTATTTTCACACCAGATCTTTCTTATTTCCCTAACTCCCTCCCCACCCATGAAATTCTATGACCCCATGATTAATCCCACCCCAGCACACTTTGGGCTTGTTTCTAAGAGGGGCTGGTTCTTGGAGAAGGACATCATGCTTGAAAAGGTGGAGTGATAGTACAGGAGAGGAATACCCTGCATTGACACAGTAACGGGGGCCATGAGCATAGGTGTGTCAAAGACAGAAAGATTGGTTCTGGATGGGGCAGGATATAGGACTCATAGGGTAGCTGTGAGTTGCTCGTGACTTGAAGGTACATAACAACAACAACAATACCAACAATGCTTTAATCTATAAGTGGTATAGCATTGCTGTACAAGGGTTACTTGTGGTTTCTGTGATGATAAACACTGTGACACTGATATGCCAAATGTGATAATGGTTACCCATGGTGGTCAGTGTCTAGTGGAGCTTCCCGATTAAAACAAGCCTGGAAGCAGGAGTGGCATCCACTTCTGAAACGGCTTGCATCAGAAACTCGATGAGCAGTGCTCAGGTCTTTCATTCATAGGGTCGTTATGATTCGTCTATGACTCAATGGTGCTTAAAAACAACAACAATATACCAACCCACTCCATTCTTACCGCTGGCCTCATGATCCCACCCAATTCTCAGTGAATCTTATGAATACTTTTTTTGTTCTATATGAAATTAACATTGCTTTCTGAAACTTAGGACCTGAAGTGCTTGCTGCAGAAGGTCAAGGACTGCAGCCTTCAACATGAATTGAAAGTCAACATTAAGAAAACAAAGAATCTCCAAGCTTTTCTTTAATGAAATGTATAGTCCTTGGTTTTGGTCCTAGGTCCATGATCCATTTTGAGTTGGTTTTTGTGTATGGAGTGAGGTGTGGATTTTGCTTGCATTTTCTACAGGTAGTTTTCCAATTTTGCCAGCAACATTTGTTAAAAAGCTTGTCATTTCCCCACTTAACTGATTTCATCTCTTTGTCAAAAATGAATTAACCATAGGTAGATGGGCTGATTTCTGTATTTTCTATTCTATTCCATTGATCTAT